ACATAGAGGGGTATTTTGAGGGGTATATAGAGAGGTATTTTGAAAACACAGAATAAGGGGAAGGATAAGTGGAAGGGCCACTAACCCCCCCAAAATATATAAATATATATATTTAAACAAAAAATGCTTGCTATTTTCTCATAGAGAGCCGGCCAATCAGCGGTCTACTCGCGTGAATATTTTTTATGACCGGTATATGCCCACACCATTCTGTTGTTGGGGTACGCCCACACCATTCCAACACAGAAAAACTGCTTTTTAACATTCTTAATTGCCATTTTAATGACAGGTTAATTCATATGTAATTAATTATATTTCATATTTAATAGAAATCTGGAAACACTGTACAGTTCCTGTAGCCCTTTTCTGCAGTCAAATGTCCTAGAGGCCTCATGGGTGGAATGTTATTCATATTTTTCATAATTTCATAATTAATAAACATACTTTTTTTTTAACAGCCGAAAATCTGGTGTTTCTATGTCAAACGGTTTTGTTATATTTCAGTCTTCTGTGATGTATATAAAGTGTAATATTGGGATGCAAACTGAAAATGTAATAAATTTCAAAAAATATTTTTAAGCCCATAACCATGTGTCTGAGGTGTATACTTTTGTTTTGAAGTGGATTTGTTTAAGACTACCAAGAAATACTCAGTGTGACCCTGATTTAGTCCACTGCAGTAAAATTAATGGTCAACTTTGGGCAAAAACACAAATATAACGGCTTTAAACTGTATAACTGATAAATGCACCATCATACCAGGTCATTTAATGCTTAAAAACAAAACAAAATTGATTAATAAGATATTTGTCTACAGAAGTTCAATTTCTTTCAGATCTTTACAGCTTCCTTCCAAAAACAAATCCTGTGAAATGATGTCAGCACATACTGGAGGATTACTGGCTAGCTACAAGTGGCTAGCTTAGCTAACAAACTAGCTTTGTCGGTCACAGCACGCATGACCAGAATTTGGGTGGTGGACCACTCTTGAGTGTGAAAAGCCCAGCAACATTACACTCAAACCGGTGCGCATGGCACCTACTACCATTCAAAGGAACTTAAATCTTTTGTCTTGCCCATTCACTCTCTGAATGGCACACATACACAATCCATGTCTCAATTGTCTCATGGCTTAAAAATCCTTATTTAACCTGTCCCCTCCCCTTCATCTACACTGATTGAAGTGGATTTAACAGGTGACATCAATGAGGGATCATAGCTTTCACCTGGATTCACCTGGTCAGCATATGTCATGAAAAGAGTAGGTGTTCCTAATGTTTTGTACACTGTGTGTATATACAGTACCAGTCAAAAGTTTGGACACACCTACTCATTCAAGGGTTTTTCTTTATTTTTTAAAACTATTTTCTACATTATAGAATAATAGTGAAGACATCAAAACTATGAAATAACACATATGGAATCATGTAGTAACCAAAAAAGTGTTAAACAAATCAAAATATATTTTAGATTTTAGATTCTTCAAAGTAGCCACCCTTTGCCTTGATAACAGCTTTGCACACTCTTGGCATTCTCTCAACCAGCTTCATGAGGTACTCATCTGGAATGCATTTCAATTAACAGGTGTGCCTTCTTAAAAGTTAATTTGTGGAATTTCTTTTGAGCCAATCAGTTGTGTTGTGACAAGGTAGGGGTGGTATACAGAAGATAGCTCTATTTGGTAAAAGACCAAGTCCATATTATGGCAAGAACAGCTAAAAAAAAGCAAAGAGAAACGACAGTCCATCGTTACTTTAAGACATGAAGGTCAGACAATATGGAACCTTTCAAGAACTTTGAAAGTTTCTTCAAATGCAGTCGCAAAAACCATCAAGCGCTGTGATGAAACTGGATCTCATGAGGACCGCCACAGGAAAGGAAGACCCAGAATTACCTCTGCTACAGAGGATATGTTCATTAGAGTTAACTGCAGATTGCAGCCCAAATAAATGCTTCACAGAGTTTAAGTAACAGACACATCTCAACATCAACTGTTCAGAGTAGACTGTGTGAATCAGGCCGTCATGGTCGAATTTCTGTAAAGAAACCACTACTAAAGGACACCAATAAGAAGAAGAGACTTGCTTGGGCCAAGAAACACGAGCAATGGACATTAGAACGGTGGAAATCTGTCCTTTGTCTGATGAGTCCAAATTTGAGATTTTTGGTTCCAACCGCCGTGTTTTTGTGAGACGTAGAGTAGGTGAACGGATGATCTCCGCATGTGTGGTTCAAACCGTGAAGCATGGAGGAGGAGGTGTGATGATGTAGGGGAGCCTTGCTAATGACACTGTCAGTGATTTATTTAGAATTCAAGCACACATAACCAGTATGGCTACCAGAGCATTCAGCAGCGATACGCCATCCCATCTCAAATTTGGACTCATCAGACCAAAGGACAGATTTCCACCGGTCTAATGTCCATTGCTCATGCTATTTTACCAAGAAGGAGAGTGATGGAGTGCTGCATTAGATGACCTGGCCTCCACAATCACCCAACCTCAACCCAATTGAGATGGTTTGGGATGAGTTGGACCGCAGAGTGAAGAAAAAGCAGCCAACAAGTGCTCAGCGTATGTGGGAACTCCTTCAAGACTGTTGGAAAAGCATTGCTCATGAAGCTGGTTGAGAGAATGCCAAGAGTGTGCAAAGGGTGGCTACATTGAAGAATCTAAAATCTAAAATATATATTGATTTGTTTAACACTTTTTTGATTACTACATGATTCCATATGTGTTACTTCATAGTTTTGATGTCTTCAATATTATTCTACAATGTAGAAAATAGTAAAAATAAAGAAAAACCCTTGAATGAGTAGATGTGTTCAAACTTATTGGGGGAGACGAATCAACCTGGTCTGAATATTAGGGGGGACATGTCCCCACATCCCCTGTGGCAATTTCGCCTATGTTATACTATAAAAGATATCTATTAGTGTCACGAATTCAGCCGAGGCTGCCCCTCCTCCTTGCTCGGGCAGGTTTCGGCGTTCGTCGTCACCAGCTTACTAGCCACTACCGCTCCATTTATCATCACTTCATTTGTTGTGTCTTGTCTTGTCAATCACACACACCTGGTACTCATTCCCTCATTAGTCTGTGTATAAGTGTTCCCTCTGCCCCCTTGTCCTTTGTGAGTGATTGTTCCTTGTGAGAGTGAGTAGCTCTCTTTCCTTGTATGTAGCCTTGTATGTAGCCAAGGTGGATTTTTCCCTTGTGCTAGTTTCGTTTTGACGCTTGCTGCGCTTTATTCATGTGCACTGAATAAACTCTGGATTTCGGTGTTTTACCTCCTGCGCCTGACTCCGTCATTCACACCTCATCACAATTAGTGACACGATAAACGTTCTCAATGCTAATTGGGTAACTACAGTGCCCCTAAGGGCCAAAGTAGGAAACCCATTCACAGCAGGTGTTCCAGCTCCCCCCTGGGTTGTATCCATTAGGGCACCATGAAGCAAAATGAAAAGGTGTTCTTATTGAAAAAATCCAGGTAGTCCCTCCCCACGTTCTTCCATTTGGTGCCTAATGAATAGGACCCTGGTTTCCTGGTGGTTCTCATCCTCTCTCTTGTTGTAGGCTGCCATAGTTCACCTCTTCCTGGACCTCACGTTGTTTCTACTATGATGCTCTTCAGCCTCTTTGTTATAGTATGATTCATACAGATAGCATTACCAGTCTATTCCTATTGCACATCCTCTACTTAGCTCAATCATCCTGGCTCTTGCCAATGACCACACTGAACCTTCCAAATCCATGAGTTCATTATCGCATGCCAATCTCTGATAATACAGAATGTCATGGAAAGAAAATAAGAAAGATATTTGACATAGTCTGATTGATTTAGTCTTTCTTGAAAAAGAATGGGAGAGATTAAGACATTTTGACTGACTTATTATGGGGTTTGACATGAAATCCACTTATTCAGTTTACACATACAAATAAATAAAACACAATTGTATTTGTCACATGCGTCGAATACAATGGGTGTAGACTTTACCGTTAAATGCTTGCTTACGAGCCCTTCCCAACAATGCAGACAAAAAAAATATTAATAATAATAACAAAACAACAAGGTATTTGAGGTAGATACTGTATGTACATGAAGGCAGGGTAAAGTGATTAAGCATCATGATAGATAATAATAAGGTATTTGAGGTAGATACTGTACATACATGAAGGCAGGGTAAAGTGATTAGGCATCATGATAGATAATAATAAGGTATTTGAGGTAGATACTGTATGTACATGAAAGCAGGGTAAAGTGATTAGGCATCATGATAGATAATAATAAGGTATTTGAGGTAGATACTGTATGTACATGAAGGCAGGGTAAAGTGATTAGGCATCATGATAGATAATAATAAGGTATTTGAGGTAGATACTGTATGTACATGAAGGCAGGGTAAAGTGATTAGGCATCATGATAGATAATAATAAGGTATTTGAGGTAGATATTGTATGTACATGAAGGCAGGGTAAAGTGATTAGGCATCATGATAGATAATAATAGGGTATTTCAGGTCTATACTGTATGTACATGAAAGCAGGATAAAGTGACTAGGCATCATGATAGATAATAATAGGATTTGAGGAGATATGTATACTAAATGATAACAGGAAAGTATAGATATGTATGTAATGTGTA